GGATGGCGGCCTTGGTACATATGCCATTGGCTCTGTGGATGAAGAATGTGATCAAGGTGAACATGATCGTGTGGATGGCTGCCTTGGTACATATGCCATTGGCTCTGTGGATGAAGAATGTGATCAAGGTGAACATGATCGTGTGGATGGCGGCCTTGGTACATATGCCATTGGCTCTGTGGATGAAGAATGTGATCAAGGTGAACATGATCGTGTGGATGGCTGCCTTGGTACATATGCCATTGGCTCTGTGGATGAAGAATGTGATCAAGGTGAACATGATCGTGTGGATGGCGGCCTTGGTACATATGCCATTGGCTCTGTGGATGAAGAATGTGATCAAGGTGAACATGATCGTGTGGATGGCTGCCTTGGTACATATGCCATTGGCTCTGTGGATGAAGAATGTGATCAAGGTGAACATGATCGTGTGGATGGCTGCCTTGGTACATATGCCATTGGCTCTGTGGATGAAGAATGTGATCAAGGTGAACATGATCGTGTGGATGGCGGCCTTGGTACATATGCCATTGGCTCTGTGGATGAAGAATGTGATCAAGGTGAACATGATCGTGTGGATGGCTGCCTTGGTACATATGCCATTGGCTCTGTGGATGAAGAATGTGATCAAGGTGAACATGATCGTGTGGATGGCGGCCTTGGTACATATGCCATTGGCTCTGTGGATGAAGAATGTGATCAAGGTGAACATGATCGTGTGGATGGCTGCCTTGGTACATATGCCATTGGCTCTGTGGATGAAGAATGTGATCAAGGTGAACATGATCGTGTGGATGGCGGCCTTGGTACATATGCCATTGGCTCTGTGGATGAAGAATGTGATCAAGGTGAACATGATCGTGTGGATGGCTGCCTTGGTACATATGCCATTGGCTCTGTGGATGAAGAATGTGATCAAGGTGAACATGATCGTGTGGATGGCTGCCTTGGTACATATGCCATTGGCTCTGTGGATGAAGAATGTGATCAAGGTGAACATGATCGTGTGGATGGCGGCCTTGGTACATATGCCATTTGCTCTGTGGATGAAGAATGTGATCAAGGTGAACATGATCGTGTGGATGGCTGCCTTGGTACATATGCCATTGGCTCTGTGGATGAAGAATGTGATCAAGGTGAACATGATCGTGTGGATGGCGGCCTTGGTACATATGCCATTGGCTCTGTGGATGAAGAATGTGATCAAGGTGAACATTATCGTGTGGATGGCTGCCTTGGTACATATGCCATTGGCTCTGTGGATGAAGAATGTGATCAAGGTGAACATGATCGTGTGGATGGCGGCCTTGGTACATATGCCATTGGCTCTGTGGATGAAGAATGTGATCAAGGTGAACATGATCGTGTGGATGGCGGCCTTGGTACATATGCCATTGGCTCTGTGGATGAAGAATGTGATCAAGGTGAACATGATCGTGTGGATGGCTGCCTTGGTACATATGCCATTGGCTCTGTGGATGAAGAATGTGATCAAGGTGAACATGATCGTGTGGATGGCGGCCTTGGTACATATGCCATTGGCTCTGTGGATGAAGAATGTGATCAAGGTGAACATGATCGTGTGGATGGCTGCCTTGGTACATATGCCATTGGCTCTGTGGATGAAGAATGTGATCAAGGTGAACATGATCGTGTGGATGGCGGCCTTGGTACATATGCCATTGGCTCTGTGGATGAAGAATGTGATCAAGGTGAACATGATCGTGTGGATGGCTGCCTTGGTACATATGCCATTGGCTCTGTGGATGAAGAATGTGATCAAGGTGAACATGATCGTGTGGATGGCGGCCTTGGTACATATGCCATTGGCTCTGTGGATGAAGAATGTGATCAAGGTGAACATGATCGTGTGGATGGCTGCCTTGGTACATATGCCATTGGCTCTGTGGATGAAGAATGTGATCAAGGTGAACATGATCGTGTGGATGGCGGCCTTGGTACATATGCCATTGGCTCTGTGGATGAAGAATGTGATCAAGGTGAACATGATCGTGTGGATGGCTGCCTTGGTACATATGCCATTGGCTCTGTGGATGAAGAATGTGATCAAGGTGAACATGATCGTGTGGATGGCGGCCTTGGTACATATGCCATTGGCTCTGTGGATGAAGAATGTGATCAAGGTGAACATGATCGTGTGGATGGCTGCCTTGGTACATATGCCATTGGCTCTGTGGATGAAGAATGTGATCAAGGTGAACATGATCGTGTGGATGGCGGCCTTGGTACATATGCCATTGGCTCTGTGGATGAAGAATGTGATCAAGGTGAACATGATCGTGTGGATGGCTGCCTTGGTACATATGCCATTGGCTCTGTGGATGAAGAATGTGATCAAGGTGAACATGATCGTGTGGATGGCTGCCTTGGTACATATGCCATTGGCTCTGTGGATGAAGAATGTGATCAAGGTGAACATGATCGTGTGGATGGCTGCCTTGGTACATATGCCATTGGCTCTGTGGATGAAGAATGTGAAAAAGGTGAACATGATCGTGTGGATGGCGGCCTTGGTACATATGCCATTGGCTCTGTGGATGAAGAATGTGATCAAGGTGAACTTGATCGTGTGGATGGCTGCCTTGGTACATATGCCATTGGCTCTGTGGATGAAGAATGTGATCAAGGTGAACATGATCGTGTTGATGGCGGCATTGGTACATATGCCATTGGCTCTGTGGATGAAGAATGTGATCAAGGTGAACATGATCGTGTGGATGGCTGCCTTGGTACATATGCCATTGGCTCTGTGGATAAAGAATGTGATCAAGGTGAACATGATCGTGTGGATGGCGGCATTGGTACATATGCCATTGGCTCTGTGGATGAAGAATGTGATCAAGGTGAACATGATCGTGTGGATATCGGCCTTGGTACATATGCCATTGGCTCTGTGGATGAAGAATGTGATCAAGGTGAACATGATCGTATGGATGGCTACCTTGGTACATATGCCATTGGCTCTGTGGATGAAGAATGTGATCAAGGTGAACATGATCGTATGGATGGCTGCCTTGGTACATATGCCATTGGCTCTGTGGATAAAGAATGTGATCAAGGTGAACATAATCGTCTGGATGGCTGCCTTGGTACATATGCCATTGGCTCTGTGGATGAAGAATGTGATCAAGGTGAACATGATCGTGTGGATGGCGGCCTTGGTACATATGCCATTGGCTCTGTGGATGAAGAATGTGATCAAGGTGAACATGATCGTGTGGATGGCGGCCTTGGTACATATGCCATTGGCTCTGTGGATGAAGAATGTGATCAAGGTGAACATGATCGTGTGGATGGCGGCATTGGTACATATGCCATTGGCTCTGTGGATGAAGAATGTGATCAAGGTGAACATGATCGTGTGGATGGCGGCCTTGGTACATATGCCATTGGCTCTGTGGATGAAGAATGTGATCAAGGTGAACATGATCGTGTGGATGGCTGCCTTGGTACATATGCCATTTGCCCTGTGGATGAAGAATGTGATCAAGGTGAACATGATCGTGTGGATGGCGGCCTTGGTACATATGCCATTGGCCCTGTGGATGAAGAATGTGATCAAGGTGAACATAATCGTGTGGATGGCGGCCTTGGTACATATGCCATTGGCTCTGTGGATGAAGAATGTGATCAAGGTGAACATGATCGTGTGGATGGCTGCCTTGGTACATATGCCATTGGCTCTGTGGACAGGCAAGGTTGCTTAGCTGATGGTCTAGTTCTAGAATGATGTGTAAATGACCAGATTCTAAGCTGTGTAAATGACCAGGTTCTAAGCTGTGTAAATGACCAGATTCTAAGCTGTGTAAATGACCAGGTTCTAAGCTGTGTAAATGACCAATATCTAAGCTAATGACTAAATGACCAGTTCTAAGATGTGTAAATGACCAGATTCTAAGCTAATGAGTAAATGACCAGTTTTAAGCTGTGTAAATGACCAAGTTCTAAGCTAATGAGTAAATGACCAGTTCTAAGCTAATGAGTAAATGACCAGTTCTAAGCTGCGTAAATGACCAGTTCTAAGCTGTTTATATGACCAGGTTCTAAGCTGTGCAAATGACCATGTTCTAAGCTGTGTAAATGACCATGTTCTAAGCTGTGTAAATGACCATGTTCTAAGCTGTGTAAATGACCATGTTCTAAGCTGTGTAAATGACCCTGTTTTTAAGTTGATGTATAAATGACCAGTTTCTAAGATGTGTAAATGACCAGGTTCTTCTAAGCTGTTATGTAAATGACCAGGTTCTTATGTGATATGTTACTCTTAAAAATCTAAGCCGATGTCAAATTTACCAGTTTTTCAGCTAATATTTAGTACATTATGAGTAAATGACAAAGTTCTTAGCTGATGAGCAAAAACTTAAGAGTACAATACTTGCATGATTAAAAACAAATGCGGACCAAATGAACATAAATAATAGCGCGGAAAATAATACTTTGTTTAGGACACTTTAATTAATTATTTACAAAAAGTCAAAATTCCTGTCAGATTGCATTGTCAGCAGGCTTTGACCAGCATGCCAAGTTTGAAACAAATCGGTATGCTAAAAGTGGTCGAAATTTCGCTCGCCAGTTTCAACCCATAGGACAAAATGAAGCAAGTTAAATAAAATTTTGTAATACCCATCTTCTTTCATGGAAAATGTAAATACCAAAGTGTAAGATTTAATCATTAGGATCTTATCAGGCTAGATTAAGTGAGCTATTTTCTGACAGGAGAATAGATCAAAATTTTACATGTAAGCTTTACCTGATAAAATTAACTTAACAAGATTTACACGGTAATTGACAAAATTAACGCTTTGTTTGATTTGTTTAACATCTTTTAACCATGTTTTACCTAATATAACTAAATGTTTAACTGCATGATATTAACGCGTTAGTTTATAATTTTAACATATTACTTGATAAAATTAACCTTAAATGCGACAAAATTAAATGCCACCTGCCACTAATTACCATAAGCAATTAGCACTTACCTAATTGGGTTGGAGACGAAGAGCAGTTTGCAGGCTGTGACACAGACCATGGTCCAGTTGGCGATTACATGAAAGATGATGGAGAAAGCGAGATGCACTCTGGAACAAAACGTGAGCACCGTTGGAATGTGATGCTATGTCAAGGCTCCATTGCCTGACGCACAGTATTTCTTCCAGACTTTTTTCCTCCGGGGGAGGTGGAGGGGAAGTTTTTGATATTTTCGAGGAGGGGGGGGGGGAGCCTGACTAAAATTTCTCTGGGGGGGTGGGGCGGACACTGTTAAAGGTATATTTTCTATATAAATTCCATTTCGTTCGGGGGGGGGGGGGGGGGGAAGTGGTAGACTTTCTTCTTGGGGGGGGGGGGAATCTGGAAGAGATACCTGAAGAAACTGCTAACAAACCATTGAATGACAGCGCATATATATATATATATATATATATATATATATATATATATATATATATTATATATATATATATAAATACATACATTTATATATGTAGATCCAGAAAGAGAGTAAAAGAAAAAGGAAGAGAGAGTACCAAAACTATTTTATCGAACAACTTATTCCTAATTTCTCTACACAATCAGTTACAGCAAAGCTAATCAAAAAATTAAACAATTACAAATTGTTCTACACCCCTAACGCTTGAGTGGAACCCCCAGGGAAAGCGGAAGAGAGGGCGCCCAAGACAGACCTGGAGGCGGAGTCTTCTTGAAGAACTGAAGCCAACAGGGATGTCTTGGGAGACGGCAAAATTAATAGCCGGGGATTGGATGAAATGGAAGGAATTGATGGAGGCCCTATGTTCTATAAGGAGCAAAGAGGACTAAGTCAAAGTAAGTCAATTATTCTACACAATGAATGGTAATCAAGCAAAGTAATCAATTAATCAATGACTAATGACGCAATTAGTTGACTACTTACTGACACGCCAAACTCGATAAAAGTCGTATATCGGCGTCGACCAGTCCGATAATCCACAACCGGGTTAATCCGACGAACAGGTTGAGCAGGTTACAAATAGCTAAATACGAGAGAAACTGAGCCACAAAATTATGCCTGAGACTCTTGGAGCGCAGGATGAGTAAAGTCAACATATTTCCCGTGATGCCGAGGAAGAGGAGGAAAGGTGGGAAGAACAAAAGGACCCATTTTTGGTCTGCGAGCAGTGAGTTAATCTCCGCCTGGTCCGAGCTGTTGCTAGGTCCGGTCGCGGCGTCTGGGTGCATCTTCACCGCGCTCGGACATGTTTTCTGGGCGTGGGTCCCGACTCACATCGCTGCATAGAGCGTGCAGAAGGTGCGGAGGTTGGAAGCACGTCTTGAAGAAAACAAGGAGGATGGGTTGTTTTTTTTTTCTCGCTCTTAGTCCTACCTAAACCTAAACAATTAAGGAGGGATTAACAATTTATTGATATATTTGTAGGGTTCGGCGTGGTCGAGTCGGTATAGCTCATGGTTGCTAAACCGAAAAGTCTCGAGTTCGAACCCTCGGGCAGATGAGGCTCGTTAGTTGGGGACAGCCACTTTTCTAGGAAAGACAACTCCAAAATCAAATTACTGCTTGTAGTTTGTTCTTGGTTGCACAAAGGCTATGGAAGCAAATCCAAAAAGAAAATCGGAGTCAATGGCCTCAATGGCGCATAACCAGTTGACACGTAACGCTTAATTGTGTTGGAGGCGTGGTCGAGTCGGCAAAAAGCTCATGGTTGATAAATTCGAACAAAGTCTCGAGTTCAAACCCACTTGCAGATAAATCTCGATCCCCTTCAACACTAATAATTAAGAACGAAGAAGAAGATATTTGTGATTGGGCAATCGCTGTTCCTCTTTTTCGTTCTTAACTTGAAAGCTGGAAGAGATTTCCTCCAAAACAATTAGGTATTACTTGTCAACTTGTTATGCGCCATATTGACTCCGATTTCTACTTGCTTTTATTTTTGGATTTGCAAGATGACATCTGAGTCAAAAGTCTATTTGGCGAATAACAAGTTGACACGTAATATTTAAAAATTGTGTTGGAGGTAATCGCGTTCAACGTTACAGTTAAGAACTCTGTCCATCACTGAACAAACTAAAAGGTGACAGTTGTTTAATTTTGGAGTTTTCTCTATTAGCTAGGTTGCTGTCCCCAGCTAAACGGCCTCATGGGGATTTGCTCTCTTTCTGGACGCCTCAGGTTAGCAGCCATGAGCTTTGCCAACTCGAACAATCGCCAAAGTTAAATTAATAAAACAAGGTATATTACCAGACATCGTCATAAAACTTCCAGATCGAAATCCCCCCCTCCCACAACAATGACGTCAGTGGCCTTGCCAAGAAATTGATAGTCATACGTCTTGCTTGTATTGGCATGTATGCTATCATTGCGTACACATACGAATACTACCCCTTTTTCGTCACAACATATTGGACAGATTGGTCTAGGCGGCAGAGCGCTAGGCTGCTAACCTGAAAGTCTCGGGTTCGAACCCGGGCTCAAGTCAGTAGAACGCCATATTAGGGAAAAAAAGGCTGGACAAAGTGCTGACCAAGAAACATATGAACTCTACTTTAGCTGTCCAATGGATCGCTAGGTCTAAAGATTGATTTTTTTTTACTTATCGAGTGAAAAGGGGCTAGAGATCTAATACACTTGCCTTAACACTACAACGATACTGCGAAAATTATAAATACAGTACTAAATAGTCTTGACATATTTTTCTTAACACAAGTTTCTCATTAAACTCTATTAAATATCGTCAATATCGATAGATTCACCATTGGTTTATGTATATATATATATATATATATATATATATATATATATATATATATATATATATATATATATATATATAGCTTATATTATAGAAGATTTATTCCCAATTGATTCTTTACATTTTAGATAACGTTTAACATTTATTTAGGCAAGGTATAATCTTCCTATGTTGCCAGTGGTACTTTATAACGGAAAATGTACCACATTTATCCATACAAAGATCAGTGTTGTGCGTACGATAAAATTAAAGGCAGTGTTACTTCCAGACTTTTTTCTCCGGGGAGATACTAGATATTTTCGGGGGGGGGGGCGGTCAACAATTTCCGGGGGGGGGGGGGCGGACACTAGAAAAAGTATATGTTTGCTATATAAATTCCATCTCGTTCGGGGGGGGGGGGGGCGGTAGACTTTCTTCGGGGGGGGGGCGCCGCCCCCACCCCCAAAGAGATGCCTGGAAGAAACTCGGATTATAGGTAATATATCGTTTTATGTTCGTAAAAATTCGGCCGAAGCTTGTAATATAAAAGAAAGGTAACGTATTGATATCGATTTAACATAAGTAATTTGTGATATAGTTGTGTCAAATATAACAGATAATTGAAAAATAATCCAAAAGCGATGTCTAAATATATCAATATAGGCCAGAAATTAACTTTAAACTGAAAAGTTTGAGGTGCAAGATTTGCTATATAAAAAGCTGTTAGCTTTAAATTAGAGTGGTTTTCCCAAAAATTCTAACAATAAGTTACAAAAAAATAACTTTAAAAAGATGGCTGCTAAGTAAACAAGCTTGGCTGCACCCGATGAAAACATAACTAATCATTTTTTATAACTAGAAATTTTTAATAACTTGTTTTTAAAAAGATACAAAAAATATTTTATTTTAATTTTTTTTAAAAACATTATCCTATTAAAATATTAAAATTGCGAAAAAAAAAATTAAACTCTAATAAGTCACCTTTCTGTCACATTTCTAGCTTCAACCAATTTTATGAGCCTAATACGATTTATTAATTATAATTTTTTAAATTTTTATATTTTTATAACTAAGGTAATCAGTGTGGTTGAGAAAAATAAACAAAGACATCATGGAGTCATATATAGCGATACTTAAAACAAAGAGTCTTTTCTGATTCTTTGATACAAACTTTTACTTGAAATATAACTTAAATATTAAGTTTTTCTTTCTGTTTTAGAATCATCCACTAAACAGACAAAAATAGAAAAAAATATATGTTGTTTTGATTGGCAAAAAATGAGACCTAACTTTCCTATTTATTGGCAAACATTGCTTTTTGGCCCGGCTTATCGCTTCCTTTCATTAGCTTGATGTTTTACGCTATGGGTGCAGAAAGTGGGAATTCCCAGTCGAAGAGTTTCAGTCGCACCATCGTCTAAGTAAATATAGTCGTGTTTTGACAATACACACGTCTAAAGAAAACACACGATATTATATGAAGGCTTGGGGGTCGGCGTGGTCGAGTCGGTAAAGCTAATAATTATATACGTTAAAGTCTCGAGTTCGAACCCTCGGGCAGATGAGGCTCATTAGCTGGGGACAGCCACTCTTCTAGGAGAGACAACTCCAAAATCAAACAGCTGCTGCCTTGTAGTTTGTTCTTGGTTGGACAAAGGCTATGGAAGCAAATCCAAAAAGAAAAGCAGGATGAAATCGGAGTCCATGGCCTCAATGGCGCATAACCAGTTGACACGTTATCCTTAATTGTGATGGAAGCATGGTCGAGTCGGCAAAAAGCTCATGGTTGATAAATTCGAATAAAGTCTCGAGTTCAAACCCTTTTGGCAGATAAGGCTCGATCCCTCCCAACACTAAAAATTAAGAACGAAGAAGAAGAAGAAGATATGAAGGCTGTAGTGAGTGTAGCTATACCAATACGTATTTGGCATTTTTAATGTAAGATTGCGTTTCCTTTTATCATAATTCTATTTTTATAGCAAGGTCTAAATATACAATAAGCTTAAAATTGTATTGGCTTAGCTCTAACAGAATAAAAGTAAAACAGAACATAGATGCCATATTTTGATTTCGACGATAAAAATAGTAACTTTTAACAATAAGAGTTATTAATAGTTTTTCGAAATGTCTTCTGCCTTACTTTAAAATAACCACAATCAATAGTGTTTTTTTTTAATTTAAATAGTTAGAACGAAACGAAATATAATATTTGTTTTCTTTTTTCCCAATTTGAGTTTATCATCAACTGCTGATGACTGTTGTGTGGTGGAGCCAAAGGCTTAGCGACCCTTCCCGGCGCCCGGGGACAATATTTCGATTTGCACCCCCCCTCCTCCAACTTTTGATTTGCACCCCACATCAAACTTTTGATTTGACCCCCCCCCCCCCCCTCATGCTTTCATTTTATTTTTCCAACCCATTTTGCCCCCCCCCCCCCCATCGCTACGCCTCTGGGTGGAGCAAACAATTAATAACCCAAAGGTTCGACTTCGCTTCCCGGGAGTGAATTAACAAACGGTGCCTGAGATTATATCAAGCTAGATGGGGAATGTAACGGCTGGGTGGGTACACAGTGACTGGGCAATAATTTCATCAAAACATCCCGATGTCAAGGAACCAAATGAACATCTCATCGTCAGCATTACGTTGGGAGCGGCTTGGAAAGAGAGCGCATGCTCTAACTTCGAAAATCCCGAGTTCGAACCCCGATGTAGATAATATCTTAGATAAGGCTTGTTAGGTTAAGACTGCAATCTATCTACGAGAGATTGTTCTTGGGTGATAGACACAATGAAAGTATATAGGCCTATATATATATATACATATATATATATATATATATATATATATATATATATATATATATATATATATATATATATATATATATATATATATATATATATATATATATATAATCTATGACTGAAAGTTTGTCCCTCTCTCCCCGGAAAAAATTCCGGGTATGCCTGCAGATGCCATGTAGAGTGATCTAGTTAAACAAACTTTACAGTGTTTTGACGTTTCGTTCAAAGTTTACAGACGCTTAATGAAAGTAGTTCTAGAAAATTCTTGCTCCTGGTGGTATGGGAGGCATGCGAGGCATCAGAACAGGTGTACACAGGTGAGTGCTGGACAGGTGTGTGGTGTTCCAGAGTGAGCAGACAGCCCGTGGGTCATGACATGTCCGTGTGAGTTCAACCTGACGGGGGATGCTGACAAAACGGCGGGGGGGGGGGGGGGTAGGTCGCTCATATAACCAGAAGAGTTCGGTATGTGGGTTCGTTGTTATAGTCACGGGGATAAAGATTAATGCTGACTTGTTTCGGGTTCTTAAGTAAGGGTGGGGTTGGGAATGGAGGTGGGGGTCGGAGGAGGGTGGTCAGAATAGTTCCGGGTTATTGGGTAAATAAGTATTAGAACCTAACGGTTCTCAGGATAGGTGAAGTAGAGTTCACCTGTTTCAGTGACCTCGGCATATAAAGCGATGGTGTGGTCAGTTTGATGCACAGCCGCTATTACTTTCCTTAACGTGAATCACGTACCCATCAGAGCTGGGTGGACTATTGACCGTCATACGGACTTAAGCATG